TTCTTCACAGCCTCCCGTACACAACTGACTTGGTCGCCGCAATTGTCCTCAAGATACCTCCTCGGCACGGACCACGCAGGAACGCATCATTTTCAACAATACCTCCATTGTTGCGAGTCGATTCGTTTCTGTGGGAAAGTGTTTACCGAGCCGTTGCCTACAAATGTCTCATATATATATACGACCATCTCGCTTATGTCGCATAATAACGGGTCTACATGCGACATTACTTTTCGAAACATTTACCCTACTTCTGTGGGCAAATTTAATGTGTCTCAGTGTTACAACACCCAATGTCATTATTATCCATACGTAATTACGTAATTGAGACGGACTTTGAGATCAAGATCACGTGACCTGGTTATCTGTTTTGGTGTAGATTTCGGGTGCATGGAAGTTTCCAGGCTCTCGTCAGTCACATGACGCAGGGGAACAAGACGAAACAACATTGCGAAAATTGGCACAGCTGGGTCTGCTGAAATGCGACGTCGTGTCGTCTGGTAGAGAGGTACAAACGCTTTGGATGCTGCAAGCAGAATGTAATCTTGAAGCTAGTGATTGTTGAGGACATACAAACATATAGACATTGGTATCAAATCTGAGATTGCTACATTGAAACGATAAGGCTAGTTTGATAATAATTATCTCTCTTACGAGTTAATGTATTCAGTCCCAGCGACGTAATAAAACTATAAATTAAACGTTTAGTTCAGCTGTAATTACTTATCCCTCGTAGAAACCAATACCAACTTCACGCCCGAAAGAGGACGTCATAACTTAACGTGTCTGCCTTATTTGACATGCAAAGACACGGTTACTGTAACATATCGGTGTGTGTCCCTAATGAGGTTTGAAACTGCCGACGGATGTTCACGAAACTTGGTAAAATCATCATACTGTCACGTGATAAGCGTAACTAGAGATGCGATTTGGAATGGTAACCGAATTTATTGAACACTTACAGAACGTAACTGCAAATAACTACGACAGTCTCACTCAGTTACACACTCCAAAGATCACTGCAACTACAGCACACAGTCTTAGCTAGGCGTTGTTTGGCAGCGGTTTCCAACCCTTCCTCTGGGTTCCCGAACTTTCCCCGGCCTCGGCTACCAGCTTTTTGCTTCTCACAACTACAACTCTCAACTGACTCAGGTCTACCAACTCAGAGCCAGAGTCAGAATTACTTTACGACTTGCGATTACAGTCAATCAGTTCGTCTTGGCGACAAGCCCCTTGAGGCTCACGACCAGTATATTTCTTTTTAACTGAACACTTGCGTTCATAGTCTATATGTAAAACCTCTCTGACGAGAGGATAGATCTGTCGTTTACAAACACTGGTGGTCCTCGCCAGCGCAGTCATTCTCAGGTACGAGTCCGGTGTGATTCACGACCACATTTTACAGTCTCAGATTGGAGACTCCCCTAACATGGAGGGCCAGGTCCCCGTATTTATATACCCCAGGAACAGGGTGGCCCAGTTATACTCCCAGGCACTGGGTTCCCTTTTCGTCGCCTCTTGCGGCTGGCAGGACTACGATCGAGGTATTTCAACCGCCTCCACACGGGAGTCAGCTCTACAAACTCAAAGTCAAAGTTACTTTATGACTGGGAGTTTACCGCCAATTAGTTTGTCTTGGTGTCAAGCCCCTTGAGACCCACGACCAGAGATTTTACCCCCCAACTGAACCCTTACGGCAATAGTCCTTATGTAACATCCTCTGTGACGAGAAGACGGGTTTGTCTCTTACGAATATATACCACCTGAACTACTAGTCCTCGTTATATATCCCTGGCACGGACCGCACAGAAAATGTCTTCCATTATTGCCTTGCCGGGGAAACGTGTCCACATTGTTTTCCCTAGCAACGGCTGTTCTATTATCGCCTATTTACACAGCCGTTACTTGGCAATGGGCCTATATGTCACAGTATCAATAGAAGGCACCTCGCTTCTTCACTTTTAATACATTTCTGCCGCCGAAATACCAGCATGCCGACCGTGCACTTACGGAGTGTGCGCGACTCGTGCGCCATTTGCTGTATGACCTTGACATTCTGAGCCGTGGCACTACATCTTTGAGACCCGTGTAAATTCTGTTACATGGAACTTTATTAAAATGTCGCCCATGCGACACCAACGTTTCGTTTGGCAGTGATAATTAATTACTGAACGAAGATTGAAATGCGGCATTTAGTACAGAGATAAATAATAGACTCGGCTGAAAATTGTGTAAGAAACGGCAAGGTTGCTGTTGGCCAAGTCGACAATAATAAACAGCTATTGGCGCTAAACTTTGAGGTTATGTCTGATTAATTCAACATAGCTGGAATCTGTACTAGTGAAATTATGAGCAGATACAGGTCACCGAATATTAACCGTTTCCGGTGCATCGGTCACTATATGCACCATCTTCTTTCACACGCTAAATCTCTTAATTCTGACCACAGAGTTTATGTTTGTGTTTCGCAGGATTCTCACAATAAACAGTGATTCTTTCCCTAAACAGCATTAACGGGTTGGAGCTTTGTAGCGGTGACGTAACATGTTTCCTGTGAGGTACGGACTGAATTTTTATATAAAACTATGAAGAAGTCTTCAAAGAGTTAAATATAATTCTGATTTACTGTCTAGGCCACGCAAACTAGGCGTCACTCCCAAACCTCTTTTTGAAATAACACCCACACTAAACACGTAACTCATATGAATATTCTCCTCTTTGCAGTACTGTACCCTTGTGACCAGTCTCTCTTGAAGGAAAACTGCTTTCAATAAGCTGCCTCATACATTCGAGGAAGACAAGGAACTGAACCAGTAAGCCCACCGACGAATGCCGCTTATAGTGAGTGTAGGCTTCGAGAAGAGACATCTATTGCCGGCCACCCTCTTGAGTGCCCAGGGAATGGCGTTAACAAGGAGTTTGCAGCCGTTTAATTCCAATTTTGTCATTGTCTGTGTATCGGTCGTAAAGACAGCAGAGTCGCTTTTACTGGTCTAATTCAGAGATACCCGGGACTACCAGTAGTTCTCGTGTGCATATATGTAGCAGGGAGTGAACTTAATTTGAAAGCCAAACGTAACTACCTCGGGCTACTAACTCTGGCAGCAAAACCCGAAAGCTCAACACTGTTATTACACGATCCTGAGCCAGTTCTAGCCACTTCTTTTATTTATAACCTATTTTACAGAGCGAGGATGGCGTAGTGGTAACGGTCTTGACTCGTATTCAACAGGTGTTCTGTTCGAATCTCGGCTGGCACACCGGCTATCGTGACTGAGGTTTTCCTTCATTTTCTTTAGTACCTCCATGCAAATGTTGCGTCATTACCTTGATTAACCATGACGGCTTCCTGCCAAATTATCACCATCCATCGATGCTGTGTGTGCTAGTATAGTGTAGCTATTGAAAGTGACTTTCTTCTTTTTTCTTCTACCATGAAGATGGAGGCGATACGTTCCTCCGAAATGTCGGTTAACACAATATCTACACGGCACCACAACCCAGAAGACGGCTTTCTTCATGGACACCGCCGTGAAAACCTCAAATCTTATAAATACGTAACTTGTTTCACTAAGATTAATGTAAAGAGACCTACATCTCGGGCAGCACCGATATATCGTGTCATATATAGAAGGGAAGCACAATCTGGTGAAGTCATGGCGCCTGCAGTTAGCGCATTATGTTTCGCGTAACATGAACCATTCCAACTCTCCTCATCTGCAAACAAACTCTCGCTCGCCACTGTACCAGTCCGGTTCGGGGAACGCTAAGGCCCCAGAAGTCCCCTAGACCCTGAAGGCTCCTCGCGGCGATGTAGAGCACTCGGGGTGCATGGTCTTCTGGAATATGTTCATCTTCTGGTATTCTAAAGAAGGCTACAGAACACGGGCCCAGTGACTGAGGTTAGTTCTATCTAACGGACCCAACAGAGTAGGTGTCTCCAACCCCCGTGCCTGAGGATGGAAACAGATTCAGTTTCCGAAACGTTCTGTTCTTTACAATTCAGGACGATGGACAGAGCCCCCTCTAAAGTAATTCCTAATGAGTTCTTTGTTAACAAATCATTGTTTAACTCTTTAACAATATATGCATATGATGGGGCACGAGTAGCGTAGTTTGTTGAGGCACTATGTCACAAGCCGGAAGGTTGCGGGTTCGATTCCCGATGAGGTCATTAGATTTTTCAATTGACCTAATCCTTCCAGTCGCACTGTTGCCCTGAGGTCGACTCAACCTCTAACAGAAATGAGTATCAGGAATCTTCCTGGGAGAAAGGGCTGCCGGCGCTTATGGCTGATAACCTCACTGTCATCGTGAGCCGATTGTCTAGAAAATGCGAGAGCCTCGATGTCTCACAACATTATGTGCCTCCACGGCCTGTTATAGGGACATCTTTATTTATTTTTATTCTTATATATGCATATGTGCTTTATGTTACTCTATGTATATGAAGAGAATATGTCACTCCGTGGCCTGTAGTCCGCAAGTGAACTATACCGACCGAGAGACCGGCGCTTGTCGGCGAAGTTATTGCCAACTTTAGCGGAGAGAGGGTTTCGCGTGGTCAGCGCAACGGATCCCTAAGGCTGTCAATTTCGTTTTTTAGACCGGGGCCGCTATTTGCTTCAAAGAGTCCCTCAATTATCTTCACGAGGCTGAGTGGACCCCGTTCCAGACCCACTACTTCTTAGTAAATCTTGTAGCACCGAGAGTCGAACCCGGACCCCTGGATCTGTAGCCAGGACCTCTGACCACTAGACCACAGGGGCAGTCGCGAGAATGTGTTACACTATACTGAAAACTGTAGGAGTGTGATTTCCTTAAGAACCTGCAGATCTAATTTGTGTTTACAATACAACAAGATGGCAGGAAGGCATCATCACATAAAATGAAACAAGTGCTGAAGAGAGACTCGCGTATTCTTATGCAGCAGCGACGTTAATAAAAATAATATGAAGATGTTTCTGTAACCTCGACTGCGGGGCGACAGCACTCACCACCACGACTCAGCCAACGTGTCCCGCGCAGCTCGAGGGAGTACCACCAGCTCTTGGCAGAAATCCATGCTGACGATGTGAATGTGCTGAACCCTTTGAGCTCCTGCAAGCTGATAATCTTGCTGTCGTCACACGCTTCTTAAATAATCCTGTAGAACACCAAAATATCGCAGCAACAGCGTCAGTCTGTCTGTCCGTCGGACTTTTAGATTTCGACCAGGCAACGGCTTGAATTCATTCGTTGTTCTGCAGTCCGCATCGCCGAATGTTGGCTGCCACTTGGAGACTTCTGAAACAAAACAGAGGCGCATGAGACTCCGCCAACAGCATGCACTGTGTCACTCTACAGGGTGATGTCTATTTTGTTTAACGACAATATTTCAGCTGCAATGTTCAGGAAGTAATTAAAAGTACCTACCTATCCATAGTAACAAAGTTATTCTTTTACGGTCAGGAGTTGTTAGCCCCAAGCCCAACCCCCGAGCTGGAGGACCACACATTGTCGGTTGTCCGTGACTGCTTATTAAATATAAATTCAGCTTCCCATTATGATCAAGTCAAGGAGGATGAGGTGCGCAGGGCATGTAGCACAAATGGGGGAGAAGACGAATGCATATAGGATATTGGTTGGATAGCCAGAAGGAAAGAGACCACTAGGAAGCAAGGCGTAGGTGGATGGACAATATTAAAGTGTATCTTAGAGAGATAGGACGGGATGGTATGGATTGGATTGGATTGATCTGGCTCAGGGTAGGAACCAGTGGTCACGACTTGTGAAAACGGTAATGAACTTTCGGGTTCCATAAAATGCTGGGAAATTCTTGAGTAGCTGCAGATTTGGCTTCTCCTCCAGAAGGGCTCAGCTCCATAAGTAAGTAAGCAAGCAAGTAAGTGCCTACCCACCTACCCACCTACCCACCTATCTACCTACCTACTTAAGGCTCCACAGCCCTGAGTAGGACCTTTACCGCTTTTTTCAGTTTCCCAATTTTCTACACAGTCGGTAGGACTCCTTGCACGGGGGATCAGCCCGTCATGGCCGCTACGTACATACAGAACGGCACAAACACAGAAGAAACGCACACAGGCATCCATGCCTCTGGTGCGATTCGAACCCACCAGTTCATGCCTTGGGCCGCGCGGCCACTGAACTACAAACCCAGCATCGGTACTGATGCAAGAGGCGTCTTAATAACGGTAGGATAGTTCAGTTAAAGCGTCATCTTCACACACTGCGCACAGTTTCTACTGAAGAAGTCCATGGCTGTGTAACCAGTACATCTGAAGAAGTGCGGTGCGCTCGGAGCAACGCGATATAAAGAAATATTAATAAAGTTTCGCTTTATGCACAGAGTTTGAAATAATGCGAATTAAGAAAAACTGACAAGAAGCATGTGCGTGTTTGAAAACTTGTCTTGAATTATGCGAGGTCTGAATCCTCACATACGTAAAATGCGACCGCACTATATCTGTTGTGTTTGAGCGGTCCCGTGTCAGTTACCACTGCATGGCGCGGTCCTCAGGTTGCGAATGGCGGAGACGGCCTCCAGATATGGAGGGTAGCTGCGGATATACCGAATAAGGAGTTGTGGACAGGAGGCAGGGCGCGAGCCAGCCACTCAAGCAGTCTCTCAGCGAGATAGTTAGCTAGTCAACCAGCCAGTCAGTCTGTCAATGAGGCAATCAAGCGATTGCACGTCCAAATCAGTCTGCAATCACCCACCTAGCCAGTCAGCGATCACTGAGACACGTACGCAGTTATGCAGCCAGCCAGTCTGCCAATCAACGAATCGGAATGCAAGAAATGAGTCAGGTCGATAGCCACCTATCCATCCGTCCACCCAGTCAACCAGAGAGCGAGCCAGTTGGATGTGGAAGTGGACGCAAGGTCAGGCTGACAAGGCCTGGATGCAACCAGAGAGCGAGCCAGTTGGATGTGGAAGTGGACGCAAGGTCAGGCTGACAAGGCCTGGATGCAACCAGACAGCGAGCCAGTTGGATGTGGAAGTGGACGCAAGGTCAGGCTGACAAGGCCTGGATGCAACCAGACAGCGAGCCAGTTGGATGTGGAAGTGGACGCAAGGTCAGGCTGACAAGGCCTGGATGCAACCAGACAGCGAGCCCGTTGGATGTGGAAGTGGACGCAAGGTCAGGCTTGACAAGGCCTGGATGCAACCAGACAGCAAGCCAGTTGGATGTCTAGATAAGAAGCTGGAAGTGGACGCAAGGTCAGGCTGACAAGGCCTGGATGCAACCAGACAGCAAGCCAGTTGGATGTCTAGATAAGAAGCTGGAAGTGGACGCAAGGTCAGGCTGACAAGGCCTGGATGCAACCAGACAGCAAGCCAGTTGGATGTCTAGATAAGAAGCTGGAAGTGGACGCAAGGTCAGGCTGACAAGGCCTGGATGCAACCAGACAGCGAGCCAGTTGGATGTGNCCTAGCCAGTCAGCGATCACTGAGACACGTACGCAGTTATGCAGCCAGCCAGTCTGCCAATCAACGAATCGGAATGCAAGAAATGAGTCAGGTCGATAGCCACCTATCCATCCGTCCACCCAGTCAACCAGAGAGCGAGCCAGTTGGATGTGGAAGTGGACGCAAGGTCAGGCTGACAAGGCCTGGATGCAACCAGAGAGCGAGCCAGTTGGATGTGGAAGTGGACGCAAGGTCAGGCTGACAAGGCCTGGATGCAACCAGACAGCGAGCCAGTGGGATGTGGAAGTGGACGCAAGGTCAGGCTGAACAAGGCCTGGATGCAATCAGACAGCGAGCCAGTTGGATGTCTAGGTAAGAAGCTGGAAGTGGACGCAAGGTCAGGCTGAACAAGGCCTGGATGCAACCAGACAGCGAGCCAGTGGGATGTGGAAGTGGACGCAAGGGCAGGCTGAACAAGGCCTAGATGCAACCAGACAGCGAGCCAGTTGGATGTCTAGGTAAGAAGCTGGAAGTGGACGCAAGGTCAGGCTGAACAAGGCTTGGATACTGCCGTGTGACGTCAGACAGTGCGCTGTAATCTTGTGCTCTGTGGGTCAACGGACGACACGAAAATAAACAGTGCTCTCAGCGATGCTTGTTTAACGACTCTGGCTCAGACACTGGCCCAGATGTTAGCGCTTCGATGGGCGGATCTCTGTATGCTGTATCAACTGCTCACGATTACTGGCCGGACTCACTAGTAGCTTGGAAACTGAACCAGTAGGTTCAGGATCGCCCTGGGACACAATCCGGAGTCAGTTCAACTCAGTTCGTATATACAAAGTCAGTTTTCTTAACATCAGTTTCAACTGCTTTTGAGTCATCCAAGCACGAGTAGGTTACACACGGAGCCCGCATGAGAGCTGCATGTCTAGCCCATCGAGACCATCGTATAGCTCAGTCAATAGATGACTCCTTACTGGTTGGAAGGTTGGGATTCGATTCCCGAAAGGGGTAGGGGTTTTCTCTTTTCCATCACTTTCAGATAGACTTCAGACAGACCTATCCATTGGGTACCAGTGGACATAAGCTAGGGGGTTACGAGGCCGAAGCGTGAAGCTGACCGCTTTACCTCCACAGCCGACTTAAGCTTTTGTAGTTTGGTATACATTTATAGAGTATGTTGACTCAAGCGGTGTCTCCAGCCCGAAGGTGCTCGCTTCAAATTCCGGCCGGAACAGCGACTCATCTAAATGAACTTTGTCGTGCGTTACAGCCTCGGGGGAAGTGCGGCGGGATGGTATCTCAATATTACGCCAAGATCTCCTCCTTCCATATCCTGTGCAATTCATTACTCACTGTCGCTACTGACAGCGGCCTTAGATAAGCACTACATTGTAGCGACTAAATCTGAGTGCGTCGAAGCATTCAGGAGCATCTGGGTTCAAGTCTCGGCCTGAAAACCGTCTATCCTCCTATCCTGAAAATGTTGTAGTGGTTTTACTCAGTCATTCTAGGAAAACAACGGAATAGTATCTCAATTAAGCCACTATCCCTTCTGTCCATAAAACAGTAAAGCAATCCCTGTGCTTAAGCACGCCATGAAGGCGTATTGGGGAGAGGAGGTATAGCTCTACGTTTTCTTCGCCTCGGCACTAGCTGGACGTGAGTGGTCAGCTTCACGCCCCGGATACTTTACCCCCGGCACCCATCGGATAGGAAGCTGAGTGGACCCCAAAGCCGGTCTGAACGCCATGAGTAAATTCTTGACATTACCTGGAATCGAACACCGATCCCACTCTCGTCCAGCGAAGAGCTAATCCCTGTAGCGACTGAGCAATTCAGTGCTCACAAATCCCCATATCAGCCCACGCTGCAGGAGCTGGGGTACCGCAAGCGCAGTTAATGCAAAACGGGCTTAAGTAGAAGACCCAAGCAGTGAGCAGAGAGAGACTGGGGGAACCAGCGTCAGTCAGGGCGACAGTCCGAGGCAATTTCTTACGAAATCGGAAAGTTGTTACCTAGCAACGAAATGCAAGACGCGTTTAATTACAAATGACGTCACAGTCTATGTAAATAGCGCTCACAAACATTCATTATGCATTTATGGGACGAGTCTATTACGCGGGGAGAGGGGTACCATTGGTTCTCCTCAGGCTATCTCAGCGTTACGACTGTCACCTAGGTGAACTGAAATTACTTGCACAAAGGTCCCTGCGACTTCGTAACAAGAAGGCGCAGGAAGCAATGCAAATGAAGCTCTACATCGAAGTTGCTTCGTTTTAGGAAGATCTAATATTCTGATAACACCCGTGGTTTTACTCTGAGAATCCAGGCAAATTCTGGGATAGTACTAATACAGAATAAATAACGACCGCTTCCTTACAAATTCTTTCCAACTTACCATTCATAATCACCTTTCCACCTTTGGGAGATCTGAAGTTCTCACGGAGATGAATACGAAAATTACTGCCTTCTCGGAGATCGCTAAGAAGATTTCGAAGGCACCCAATGCTTCCACCTTCAGGGAGAAGCGTAAGCTAGGGTGGATAATTGAAAGGATATAGACACGTGGGACTGGGAGGTGAGGGCTGATGAAATGGAAAGGACATTAAGTGAGCCTTTCGTGGCCTTATCAAGATATGTAGCCCAGCATTTGCCTGGAGGTACCGAGAAAAACCATGAAACCTTTGGTTCAGTTTAGCCGGTATTCCAGCCGAGAACCACGAGTACTTCCGAATAAAGATCTAGACCAGTTTCTTTGGTGGACTTCTCTTCTACCCTTAAGATAGATACAGCATGCTCCTCCGAAATTAACGTAACGATATATCAGACTACACGGCGTCACATCCCAGAAGAAAATAATCTTCAT